GGAAGTTGATGTCCGAGTGGATCGCGGTCACGATAGCTCAAGTGGTAGAGCAGCGGCGTATTTAGCCGAAGATCGTGGGTAAACTAAAAACCTTAATTAATTGTAATTGTTAATAACGCTAGTTAACAAAATGACATTTAATTTTTTGCTAAAACTCGTGCGCCGTTTTAATTTGTTTATATCCTCTCTGATTATTTTATACATACAAAAAAACCTCTTTGCTGACTACGCATAATTTAATTTGTCAGGCATAATGATTTCGGTTTTTAACATAAAATTTAACAAAAAAATTAAGAATTTCTGTATTCTATTAACGTGATAATGCACCTTTAAGATTTACATAATTAATTGAAATATTAAACAGAGTTTTGTGGTGTTAGTGACTGTTAGTTAATGATTATTTGGATATCGTGAGATGCGGTCTGGTGTGACGTAGGCTCTAGAAAAACATTTTCTTTATCGTGCCAACGTTTCGATCTTTATTGAGATCATCTTCAGGGCCTGGGATTTATAAACAGTGTTTAAATTTTACAAATACAAGTAGGATGTGAAAAAATGAATTTATACCATGCTAGAAATTTTAGATTAAAAAAATAAATAAATAAAATGAATTTATACAATACTAGAAAGCTTTAGATTAAAAAAAAGAATTTATACAATGCTAGAAAATTTTATATTAAAAAAAAAATTATACAATACTAAAAAATTTCAGATTAAATCAAAGTATTTTCACTCACTCAAAGTGTTTGTTTTCCGGGTGGATGTGTCATTCTTGTGTGTTAAAACATCAGTATCTCACTGGCACTCTCAACACGACACAGAAGAATGACATATCTACAAATACTTTGATTGAATCTGAAATTTTCTAGTATTGTATAAATTCATTTTTTTCACATCCTACATGTATTTGTAAAATTTAAAGTATGTTTATAAATCCCCGGCCATGAAGATGATCTCAATAAAGATCGAAACGTTGGCACGACAAAGAAAATGTTTTTCTGAAACCTACGTCACACCAGACCGCATCTTACGACCTCCAAATAAATATTAATATAAATTACCATTGAAGTGCTCTATGAACTGAGTATAAGTAACTCTATGCTCTATGAATTAAGTAAAATTTATCTACTCGGCAAATCTTTACAGTTTGTTTCGTCGCAATTTAACGGAGGACAAGAGACAAAGCTAGAGAGAAAATATCGAGTGAGATGGTCCGTTCTAATTATCTTATTACTGTTGGGATTATAAAATCAGTGTTATAGAGATTCCGAGGATGCTTGTCTTCTATTCCAGCATGTGTGGCTTGATTGAGAGCGCGATAAATACCAAGTGAAGGAAACCTAGGACAGTAGAAAGAAATAGAGAAAAAGATAGATACATAGATTGAGAGCGCGATAAAGACTATGTAAAAGGAAATCAAGGACGGTAGAAATACATAGAAAAAGAGAGAGTAGAGGAGATAGAGAAATATTGCCGGCAGGGCAAAGAGAGGAAGAATAAGTGAACAACAGAACGAGAAGAAATTCCGAGGAAGCTTGCTTAATTGTCTAGTATGTGATTGAGAGCGCGATAAAGAACAAGTGAAAGGAGACCTAGGACAGTAGAAAGAAACAGAGAAAGATATAGAAAGATAGATTGAGGCATAGAGATAGATAGATAGATAGATAGGGAGAGAGTGAGAAAGTGAGTGAGTGAGTGAGAGGGAGAGAGAGGGAGAAAAAGAGAAAGATAAAGAAAGAGAGAAAGAGAGTGAGTGAGTGAACAATATAAAAAAGAAGAACATGCCAAATTTAAGATAAACAAAATGATATTCCCTCTTTCTGCTTAACTCTGTAAGAGACGTCACAACAAGCAGAACGCCCGGGTCAAAATATTATTTGTATCTCTTTTCACTGTGTTCAGGACGGACTTTTATCATTTTGCCGCATTGGCCAGAAGTCTCTGGAGACGTTCGGGGGAGGGTATTCCATTATCCGAAGGCCGACGGGAAAGGCCCAATAAACTTCGCCGCTGATTTCGAAGAGTGAAGGCCTCGGCCGGCTGCCAAACACGTGTAACAATCAAAACCAGTCTGATCCCCGAGGGTAATGGGAAGTTTATGCATCGATTTATCTATCCGCCTTCCTCACGGGAAAGACAAGTAAATTGCAGGTGGGTTTAATAGGGCAGTCAGTAGTTGTGAATTTTCTTTTCAAACGTGATTATTACACGGCCTCTTATTAGAGATAGATAGAGAAAAAAGGGAAAAAACACAACGAAAACCTTAACTTTACTAGTCAGGTCTCTTCTCGATTCGGTTGTAATTTTTCACCAAAACCAGAAAAGGAAACTTGTAAAACAGTTTCTTTCTCACTACACTTAAGATTTAATAGAAAGTCGATAATTGAATGATATTTGCATAATACTAGGTTGTCATAACATCCTTATGCTTGAAAATATTATTAAATCATTACTTGACTCTTTTATGTATGTAATTATATTTTTAAATAACTATGGATTGGACTATGTTATCCAATGTCAATACAGTCATTTCACCTCGTTTCATATTACGAATTGCAACAAAAATATCCCAAGAAACCGAGGTTCTCAACTTTCCGAAGAAAGGAGGAAGACGACAGCTGAAGAAATTTGATATGAATGCCAAAAGGGTTGACTTGCTTAAACTAACAGCGGTCAAAGTTTTCCGATGCTAGTAAAAGGTTCTGTATTAAAATATGGAAAAAACGAGTAAAGAACAAACGTTGGATGATTTCTCATAGACCCAAAACAAGCAAGAAACAGCTGAAGACACTGCCCAAATGGAAAAACTCGTTCTTGATGAAAGTACAATAGAATTAGACAGATGTAACCCATAGACTAAGTATCTCAACCATACTAGGCTCTCCTGGACAGAATTGTCGTATATCGCATTTTTACATTTTTTTTCTAAACTAAGAACTGTATACGGTAGTTTCGTCACTTTTCACTCAAGAATAAAATTTGTCACTGTATTGCTACTCCCAGCTTAAAAGCCTAACGCTTAAGAGAAAATAAGATTGTACTTTGTGGAAGTAATCACTACTAACTTTAAACGTGTTCTACATAGTAGTACACCAGATAAGATTATTTTTTACGTGATAATATCCTTCTTTGGTCAACCAGAATAAAATAATGCTACAAAAATAAGGTATGGGTATTTGGCACTCCCTCCTTATTTCCTGGACGTCCTAACAACTGATTTCTATATATTGTGTGCTTTCATCATTTTGTGAAAGGACGATACAAATTAGCAGAAACAAAAATTTGGCCGATTTTTTTGCACTATACAGCTTGTTCGAGATCGTACACATATTGTCGTCCATTTCGAGTTCAACAACTGTGGTATAGTAAAAGCCAAATATCCCACATTGATTAACAATTTACAGATACTAATTCAATTATGCAAAATAGAGGAAGGCACATACACCACTTAAATCCCAGACGTCGCGATCTTTTTCGGAAGTAAGGCACATAGTAGCTGAACCAAATCTTTGTTAATATTTGCGTTTCATGGTTTGCACTCATTAAGTTGTTCCAGAAGCCCTATTGATTTTGAATTTACTGGCTCCATGCAGAAATACTACAAAATCTACTTCGTTGCTTTAAGATAACCTGTTTATATCTTTTAAATTAAATCTGCCCCTTTTTCTCCAGACAATGCGTAGTGTTTCTAGAGGATATAGTCCAAATCTATATTGTAAAATATGGATAAGAAAGTTAAATTAGGAAGCGAGTAGGATTGGAGAAGTGATGGTCATAAATTAAAATTTTGGCTGAAAGAAGGTTAAAAGAGGTGGAAAATAATTATTACAACTTTCATTCAACTCGAGGGCTGAATTTGACACAAGACGTTTGAGAAGTGAAGAAGTTATATAAGTTGTCGAGAAAGTATGAGTACCAGTATTGATTATAAAACCGGCGGTATGTCGAACAAGAGGAAGTTAAATATTATGCTTTGAATTAATTTTTCAATAAAATTGCATTATAGCATGTACTGAAGTATAAAGAGTTCGCGTAATAAAATGCCTGAACAGCTGGAGGTCAGTTACTTAACTATTAGATACATGATTTTGAATATTTAGAGAAAGTTTTTTTGCGTTCGAGATATTTCAACTAGTTTCTTTAAGTAAGCCGTCAATTTGAATTTTATAGTAAATTGAAATTATTACTGGCCTTACATGATTGAGTTTTACTGGAAGAATATGTTTTTTGTAGAATAGAACACGTAGTGCACAGCATTGCTTCAATTGTTGCGTTTTCCGATTCAACTAGTGTCTTTAAATAAGCCGTCAATTTGAATTTTATAGTAAATTGAAATTATTACTGGCCTTACATGATTGAGTTTTACTGGAAGAATATGTTTTTGTAGAATAGAACACGTAGTGCACAGCATTGCTTCAATTGTTGCGTTTTCCGACAATTCGGATTCATCAGTTAATTCTCATGCAGACTACAGTTCGAACTCGGAATTGATTACAAAGTTAAATTATCACGAATTAAACAGGTTGGATTTGTAGCGGCTGCTACGATCTGAATGTGTGCAAAAGTGCTCCGAATATAAAAAGGCGAGGTGGAGTTTTTACCTTGCATTTTCAAGTTTCTCGTCCATTGTTAATAAGACGCAACTTACCTAAAACAAAAGAAATAAAATAATTACAAATTATGTCAAATAAAATAAGACAAATTGTTGTTGTACACAACAGGGAAAAACTGAAATGCTAAATCGAACCCTTAACTCGGATTGAATATAAATATTAATTATTAAAAATGGGTTGTGAGGATAAGGCCATTGTTGCTATTGCTACACATTCAGATTAAGTAATGACCAAGGACGCTTCAGCACTACCTATGCATGCTATGATTCGTGGACCACTTGTTCCAGGCTGAATTACTTCAATTATCTTTGTTTTCAAATTCACGGACTTAAAACAAACATGGATAAAACGATGTTAACAGGGCCCGTGTTTATATTTTTTTTCACTTTTGTAACATTCTGACTATTTGTTTGATTTATTGACGTTCGCAGGATAATGAAATGTATAGAGTTCTTGCCTGAATCGTCATCGATTTTTCAATGGTAAACTCGGTAATTTTCAGCGATTTATTGCACCATCATAGTCAACAGCTACTACCAAGGACGTCAGATCTATGTCAACTGAACCAACAATAAATAAAAAGTCACGCCTACACAAAAATAGAGCTTAACAGGTAGACATACACTTGCTAGTCGTAGTAAGATAAATTTTACCTGTAAGTGAATTTTCCACATATACAGCATGCTTTACAATTCTAGGTTCCATATAAATTTTGACCAAGATTATAACATAAATGTGATTTATGTTCATATTTTGATGGTCCGGAAAGTATATTTGCAGTTTTTAACGCTATTAATTATTGAATAAGACGAGGAAATAGAAAAATTACTAATCAGCCAATTAATTAGTGTTAGCCTCACGATATTTTTTGATCAAAAGATATGATTGTAAAAATATTATGATACGTGGGTGAGAGAAAAGATAGTGAGTGAGTGAGTGAGTGAGTGAGTGAGTGAGTGAGTGAGTGAGTGAGTGAGAGAGAGAGAGAGAGAGAGAGAGAGAGAGAGAGACCGAAAGGGGTGAGAAGAGATAGAATTAGAATACTGAGATTAAAAGTAGTAACTCAGAAAGAGGTGAAGAGAGATTAGGAAGAGTCCGAGTTTAAACAGAAAAAGGTGGCGAGAGATAAAGATGAGAGAGAGAGAGAGAGAGAGAGAGAGAAAGAGAGTAAGTGGTGAGAAAGATATAGAAAGATGATTAGACAGATAGAACAAGATAGTTTGACAGATAGGAGACAGAGAGGAAAGAGAGCGAGAGAGAGAGAGAGAGAGAGAGAGAGAGAGAGAGAGAGAGAGAACAAGTGGTGAGAAAGATGGTTAGATAGATAGAAGACAGAGAGAAAAAAGAGAGAGAGAGAGAGAGAGAGAGAGAGAGAGAGAGAGAGAGAGAGTAAGTGGTGAGAAAGATATAGAAAGATGGTTAGACAGATAGAACAAGATGGTTTGACAGATAGAAGACAGAGAGAGAAAAGTAAGAGAGAGAGAATAAAAGAGAGAGAAAATAAAAGAGAAAGAGAGGGAGGGAGAATTTGAAGTTATTACGTTGGTACACTTGTGAAACATTTTTTACAACCTGTGATTTAAGTAATATATTTGATTAATTCTGGCGAAAAACAATTTTGAACCAAGTCAAAATTGTTTGCCCAAAAGACGTACAAAAATTTCAATCGAGTGTGATTACACCTATGATAATAATTTATACTCCAAATGTTCCCCTTTGAGAATGTGTTTATTTTATAGGGCTATAAAGGTGCGTTTACGTGTTTTATTTACCGCTGTAACGAAGATGATTAAATTGTCATTTACAGCCGGCAGGACATTTTATGTGAACCGCGTCTTCATCCCGGTCCGCCTACTGGGGACATAATAAAAGATAAAGCTTCAATAATAAAGACTTTACATACATGGATTTGTCCCTAAATTAATAAACAAATGATAAGACGAAAATACTGCGGGATCGCACAACATGTTTTGTCATTATTAATTAATTGAATTTTGCAAATGTTTCCCGATATTGACAACTCTCCAGATATCACAGGCCATTCCGCCCAGATTAGCGCCGTGTAATTCTAATCTGATTTACCTCTTTAGCATAAAATCATAACATGTGTTGTCAGTCGTGATATTTATATTTATGACTTACCGATTACTGATAATCTCTGAATCCACAAATTATCAAGGATTTTTCCGAATACTTGAAAAAAAAAAAGACTTTAGAGTGTGATTTGTAACTATTTTAACTAAACTACAACTAACTTTGTAACTATTTTAAGTATAAAAGCACATGTCTGGAAGTATTCCCGGGGGAGGAAGGGTTAGATTAAATCCCTGTCATGATGGATTTGCAGGTTGGTGACGTATACAAAGTTTTTGTTTAAGATATATAGAAATATTGAAAAGGGTGGCAGAGTAGTTGGGGGAGCCTGGGATCTTCGGTTGCACGTCCTAGAATTCCGTTCTATCCTGTTCAGGATCATCCCCACTTCATATAACACACTACTTCATATAAAAATAACTGCACCTCGTGGTATAACTGGATAGTCAAATTTTTGTAATTGGAAGTGCATATTTCAGTTAAGTCTTTAGCCCAGGCAAACTGTATATAATTGAACAAGTGGACAAGGAAACCTCTCATAAGGCAGGAGAAGTTAAAAGAAAAAATAGTTACATCAAAAATGTAATTTGAGGGTTTCCTCATGGTGCCGGTGTTTTTTGAAAAAAAGCCCGTTTGGATTCCAACAGCCCTGCATTCGAACCCCGGACCCTTTATCTTCCAGTGATGATCGCCGTGCCAATGCCTAAACCGAGACGCCTCCGATCTGAACTATAAAATCACAATTCTGAAGTTTTTTTTAAATTATACCGTTTTGTACCTTGAGCGCAGATATTTCAAAAATTCTTTTATATTTTTGATGAGTGTCCAATGTTATCAGATTTTAGGTTCACTCTTTGGGAACCACGATAGTTTTGATAGCGTGTTGTACCGCAGAAAGCTCGTAGAGCAATTTAATTTAAATTTGGTTACTTCATTTTTTAATGTACATCTCTTCGAGTGTATTTCCCACAACCCAACCTCCAGCAAAACTCTTATTAAGTCTAAAATGAAGCAAAATATCTGGTATGTGAAGGAGCGAGGTCTGGCATTAACTGTACATATTCGCGGGGTTATATATCACAATAAAAAAAGCTAAGACTTAACTAACCGACCAAAGACACACACACCTTTAAGACTTTATAAAATTAATTTAACATGACAAACTACTGCCCCACCCAACAATGAAGATGGCGCAATCCCAAAATGCACCTGATAGATTAAAACAACGAGGGAGGCAGACGGAACTGATTGGCAAAATTAATTACAGGTTCATCACCCCGCAGAAAACAAGTGAAATTTTATAAGTTGGAATTATAGTTACAACTGAAGAGGTCTGATATAAAACGTTATCAAGATGCAAGTACAGTTGGACTTTTTACGAAGGTTCAATTTTTGGCCAGAAAACATGACCATATAGGCCTGATTCATTTCGCCTATCAGAAGCCAAATAAAATCTGTTGAAAGCTTTACTGAATTCGTAGTACTTCGTACGATATGAATCATGCTTCCACCTGCTCAATTAGTGTAATCAAGGATCAGAAACAATTAGTGTACCTCGCTAATAAATGACTGATTTTGGAAGCTTAATACGTGCCAGATGGTTTTGAACATGTCGGTATGACTGTCCTTGATTTGGCTCAATTGTTATGTGCCGTGTAATTTTAAACTGGAAAGAAAACTACCGCCACTATTTTACGATCGTCACGTCCACCGGCTAATAGCCGATATTTAAAACACCTCCAAAGGATTAATCGACTGTTGTGGGAAAGGCTGTTATTCCATTGGTATTTATCCGAACCTGCCACCTCCCCATATTTCAATTGGGACTTCCGGTTCTGCTCAGCGGGACCATTGTGGTTTTATCCGAATCAAATCAATTCTGCCGAACAAACCGTATGGCGTGGGGGTACTTCGCACTGCAAACAATCGAGCTTTTTAGGCCGTCGCCGGTAAGAAAAATAACTTTTCTGAGTAATTTTTCCCATCGTGTTCAGTCCCAGTTTTATATGTACAATATACCAACTTTAAAGCTTTTTCAAAAAATATATTACATCCACTGATTTAATATTTATAAAACAAAGACAAATGACTCATAGGATTTTTTTCTAGAATCTTTTAAAAAATGCTCACCCACATATTTAATCACACTATAATTTACATGCTCCATACATGTCAAGGTTTCGAATGAAAGGGACATTGTTATGCAAATAATCGAAGGACGCATTATTGTAAAAAAAATATTACCATCTTTTGCCGAGTCTTGCGCAGGACATGCCCTGAGCATAATTATTAATTTTTTTAAAACATACATTTAAATTACCTAACGTCGAGGAGAAATACAGCGGCATAAAGGAAGTCGAATTTAAAAGTCGTTGCGTAATCCTATGGGGTAAGCTACTTTCCCGACTTCTCCCTCCAGTGATTCTTTTTATGTAGTTTGCAATGCTTAACGATCTGATAGATTATCCGATTGACTTTTCAACTTAAGTTCCACGCATAAATTTAAAAAATTCAACTTGTCATCAATTAATATAAAGCTAGAATTTAAAAAAAAATCAAATACCTCTTCTGAATAAATACATAAAAGTAAACCGTCAACCTCCAAGAATAACCGAACTCGTGTAAATTGAGATATCCCAATATTTCAGGAATACCTTTGTCGAATCGATTTTGGACGGCTTTCGGAGATAATTAAACCCCGGGAATTTCCCATTCAGGCTTCAGGCAAATAGTCCGAAATTCGTTGTTATCAACAACTCATAAATCTGCATATCTTGCGTAACATCTGTCTAATTGCTTTTTCGCCCCCTCAACAATGAATCGTACAAATCGGTGAGCAAATGGAAGACGTAATCGTCAAAGTTGAATAAAAACCGGTAGCTTTCTTAGGAATTCTGTAAACTCCCTCTCTCTTTCAACAATCATCATTATTACTGGCCTA